AAAAAAACCACATAAATTAATATTTTTTTTCTTTCAGATGGATAAAAATCGGAATGGAAATTAATGAATCATTCTATAATACATTTCTATATAGGTAGGTGCTTCGTGTTATAGGTACACGAATAAAAATGAGCATAAAAATAATTATTTAAGTCTAACCGACGTTTCTTCTTCTTTTATTCAAATAAACGGATTTTGAAAACATTGTAGTTTATAAAATATAGCATATACAAGCAAGTTAAAATTAAAAATAAATAAAGGACCAGGTAGCCCGGGTCTCAACTTGACTTTCTTCTCTCATACCTGTATACATCAGCGCAGACTATACATATATTGTGATATTATATATTTGTATAGATTCATATTTTGGATAAAGTTTGAAATATAGCCAAACTATAGTCTGTAAACCCAACACAATCAAATTAAATAACATTTTTTTAAATGATCTCAATAATAATATTTATGCTTTGCTTAGTTTGCAGTCGTAATTGGTAAATACATCAAATTATATTTTAATTTAATCATCAAAAAAAATAAATGTAGAATAACTGCTGCTTTCTCCGTCTGTAATTGGAGAACTAATTTATACACTATTGAGGTACTAACAGGGAGATGAATTTATATTTATTTTTTTAATAATTGCGTAATAATATTGCATGGTGTGGAATGGGGATACCAGATAAAAGTTATGGTTTAAAGAAAACAATTTAACTTAGCTGGTTTTATTTAATGTATTGTATTAACTATTAAGTGAAATATATTAAAACCATTGCAATATTTCATTAAATATTATTTTAGAAAATATATTTGTAGTAAAATATTATACACCTATTCTTTTTTTTTTTTGTACTTGGTATTTATCAACAATTTTAAATTCATAATACGAAAACTAAATCATGCAATATGCAACACCCGAGACTATTTTAATTAAATTTTTACTACAGAAATTAAATTCAAGTTTATACAAATTTCTGCAGCAAGAATATTATAAATAATGCATTATTTGTTATACATTTTTACACATTTTTATACATTTATATACTGAAAGGTACTTCAATGAGGAAATAATATTCGGGTATTGGGTAATATTAATGACTTTATTATTACATTATGTCATATAAATTTTAAAAGGTATTTATCGAACTGAGTGCATTAAAATCTTACTCTCAATTCATTATGCTCAATGAGTTAGATTGTAATCTTGGCTTAGCAAATCAATTAATTTTAAATTTATGTGATCATTCAAATTGTTAAACCTAGTATATTTGTATTATTATTAAAAGTTATAACTGTATTTTCATACATTTTCTTGTAATTATTTCAAACAAAGCGATACAAAAGGATGGTTTTTTTTAAGTATGTATAGCTATATGATGGGACTTAAGGACCACTGTATATGATCTTTGTGTTTTCATAAAACAAAATGTGCATTAGCGAGGAAATATCCTTCTGTTGATATATTTTAATTTCAATATCTCAATATAAAAGAAAAATCGTATTATCTGAGTGCTTTAGTGCGTGAAAAATGTAAACTGAAAAAATGAACAAAAAAAAAATAAAAATCTCTTAGGAATAAATTAAGACGATATTTCCACGTTCTGTTTTTTAACCAGACACCTTCATTACAATAGTGAGAAAAACATTTTTTCCCTTTTCTCATCATCTGGGTGAGGACGCGGTGGCGTGGTTTCAAAAATGCACCGGCTGTATAATTTACATAAATTGGACGGATGTCCCTCAACGGGAGTTAGAAGTCGGCAGAGATTAATGACGTCATTTTGCGAATATCGCGAGGGTAAAAAAAATTATTTATTAATATTGATGATCGGTGTAAGCTAACGGAATTTTGAATAATTTAAGTTACCCGAGCAGATAATAACAATATTATCATATTGTCTGCTGCATGAGGTATTAAAAATGGCACTTTATACAATATGAGGCAACATGAAAAGTTTATTGCCGCAGGATTTTAGACGAAAAATTACCATAATCTCTATGAACTCGGACTTGACGACATCACTTTTAACAAATATTTCCAAGCGGGTAGTACACTCTGCATGATATATGTATAATGTATGTATAATGTATATTGTATTATTATATATAGTTAGTGGTATATGAAACATCGTATTGCTAGCAGAAGGAGAGCAGAAAAACAGGTTTCACAAAAGTTGTACTTTAATTTTATTATATTGCTATTGACAATCCGATTAATATGTTGGTTAAATAAGCTAAATATTACATAATATTATACATTAATTTACTGAATATTATGTAAATGCATTTTATAATATTATAATTTAATATAATATAATATGATATCAGCAGAGTTTAATTTATTATTTTTAACCCACAAATGATTGTTATATTTTATATTTCATTACTTTTGTGGAGATTTAATAACATAGTATTGATATAACGTATTATTATATTATTTACGTACCTAGATTGTACTTTAGGCAAATACGAATCTTAGCCACCCTAATTTATATACAGCCGTGGCGACTGGCGGATATGGAGGAGGATGGATTTTTCATTATTTTGACAATTGCATTTTTAATGTAATATTGCTAACTTTTAAGTTACAACTTTGATTCAATCATGACTTTCACATTTATGATAATATAATACATTATTTTTTTGATTCTGATGTTTTTCCGTAGGAATGAAGTATTTTTCAAATTCTGTACAGAACAAAATATGCAACATGCGTCTTTATTTGATACTATATTATGCTATTATTAATATTTTTTGGGAATCTAATGAACTCCATTTGTTTGATGTAGTCCTGCCTTCAGGTTGAAAATGTTGATGATAAATCATAATTATAAAAATAGATCTATAATTTTAAAATTTCTCAAGTGTGAAAAATATCATATTTATACTTTTTTAGAGTTAATTTAAGAGTTCAGAATTTTTTATTTAAATAACTGAATATCACTAAAGCATTTTGTATACATTTTTCTGACACTTACATGGGTTATCAGATAAAAATAAACCTAAATAATGATGTTTAATTAATATTGTTATGGGTCTAATCAATACAACAGCATTATAACATACAATTTAATGTAGAAGTATTATAGATATAACATTAAAGGCACCTACGAATATAAGTAGAGCTTGGCTTACTAAGTTAACATTTAATATAATATTTTGAACATTTAAATTTGGACAAAAAGGTTGAATAAATGTTACTAGGTAATTTAAAACATATACTATATACGTATAATGAGTTATGTGATTAATAATTTCCAATCAAAACTTTATTAAATATAAACGATTCTAAAATTAATACTGTCATAAAATTATAATAGAAAATTGATTTTTTGATTACTTAACAACTTTTGAAACGTTTGAACTCAGGGTTAACAGTTTATTAAATTGTTAGGTATTTTAATGCAATATATGAATTACCAATTATATAAAATATATTTTGATTTAAAAATTGTCAATATTTGTGAAATTAATCAATTCCTAATGAAATACAAGCTTATTGGGTTTTGATCGATGTACTAGGAGTCCATAACTGATCAACAAATTATCTTTTGTAGCGGCCAGTCTAGTCATGAAAATGTTTGTACATTACTTATTATATATAATGATTATATTATATAAACTAAAAGTAAAAAACCGATCGTCTATTCAAATCTGTACGGCTGTACAATAATACATTTTTGAATTGTTTGCATTCATGGCCATTGCTGAATTCAAATTAAAATGATGTATGGATTATTAATTATTATATTATAAAAACGTATATTACGAGAATATTATGTTATTATATTAATACTTCTCAGTTGAAAGCAAATAATAATAAAAAAATATTATAAAAGGTTGCATATTTTTAATTGTTTGTATAATCTGTAGACCCTTTAAGTTATCAAAACTTAAAGACAATCCGCTACAATGTCACAACTGAAAAACAATTTTAAACTGAACTGGGTTACCTTTATTGTGCGTATTATAAAAGACGTGTTTGAAAGTTTTACACGATTAAATGTTTTTAAAATATCGACATAACCTATGACGTATCTATTATGTTAAAATATAGGAATATAAAATAGTGTCATAAATTCATAACGATATGCATTAAAAATATTTTAAGCTAAAATGTATTGATAATAGATTATTTAAATAGTAAATTATTGTGGACACATGCATATTCCTCAAACGTTGAAACATGGACTTATGCATATGGTAATTAGGTACTCAAATTTCAAACCAATTTCAAAATAAAAAACATATTTTAATCAAAAGAAAATATATGAAATTAAATTATTAATAATTATATGGCTGTCCCCAATTCCCTATATATATCCTGTGAAAAAAATCAATTTCGCTAATAAATTTTTATAAATGCAATTTAGAGTAATGATTTTTGAATTATACATAGTTAAACAGTACCTAAATATTATCATTGTTGTTTAATATTCTTAAAATAAAAATTTCAAATTTTACCCAAAATTCAACTGAAAGATCAATTATGGATGTCAAAATGGTATTACTAGCCAAAAATTGGTCAACATTTTCAAAGTAATTTCGACAAAAGAAAATGTCAACAGTGACCAAAAAAAGTCATAACAACAAAAAAATATTTCTAAAATTACGTAATCATGAAAACCAAATCATTGTACCTGCCCCCAGTCTTGTGAAGTACTTTAGTATAGTAATATAGTATTTGAATAAAAGGGTTCAAATAATTTTGAAGTAAGTGCGCTCAAATGAGTATTTTAAATACTTTTAAAAATAACCATCTGTATCTGTACTTGAATACTTTTAAACAGTATATATTTTACAAGAGTGCTTGCCCCAATCTGCAGAAGAAATCAAAACAAGTTTGATTTCGGACACGGGGTAGGTATACTTACTCCGTAAGGCATTAATAATAATTAATAGGCCGCCGCGGTTTTACAAATATTAAAAGAGGCGCAAACGTGTGCACTGCGTATAAATTCCACTATATTATAGGTATTATTATTATTTATCACACAATTTACCTGGCTTACTCGTACGGTGTGTCGACGACGGTCCGGAACGACGACGACGAATGCGTTGGTACAATATGACGATGATATATTTTCGGCTAAAAAAACTTTTATACAGGTGCAGTCCAAATATTATTTTTTTTGTTTTAAGTACGTACTAAATTTTTGTACGTGCCGTAATTTTACGCAGAAAACGATCGAGGTCCGTCTGTTTGTGTGGTGCGTGTATGAATAATGCGCTTCAAATTGAACAGAGTCCACGCCTCCAGGACCTCCTCTTCCACCCCCAGCACCGCGTCACCACCGACGCCGGTAACCTTCGCCACCGGCCGCTCCGTCGCGCTCGTCTCGCGGCGACACCCGCCGTCGCCACCGGTGAAAACAATAATTTTTACGCGCCGACGTTTAACAGCTATAAAACTTGTGTAAATCCCTTCGGATGAATAACAAAAAAAAAAAAAAGTAAGAGATTTTTTCCCTTCTCGCCGCCGCATTGTATTATTATTATTATTATTACTGTATAGTGTTATATTATTGTCGTCGTCGTCGAAGCTTCCGCCCGCGCATAATGTATACAAACATATATATGTATATACCTATATATTATACATGCTACATAGTATATACCTACACGTAAGTAATATATGTGTAGAGCAATGCCATAATAATACAGTCGGCGAAACGGTGGTGAAAAAAACAATACGCCTTGCTCGTATGTTTATATACATACACACCCACACACACCAGCTATGTGGCTATTTCATATATTTATATGTATAAACTACTGTGCCGACTCTAAAACACGTACACGTCGGTTACATAATATAATAATATAAAGTCATCATCTCATCTTCGTCTACTATATTTATATTTATACAGCCATATTATATATAGGCGTCTTCGTCTCCCGTGCAACATATACGGTCTAGTGCTCGTTTTCACCAACCACCCCTGCAATGTATACTACATGATATAGGTATACTAGGTATAGGTATCTATTATAATATTGTTGAAACTCGCAGTGCACGTACACATTTGAACACGTCGATAAATAAACAATACGATAAATATAATACAATATACATTTCAGATTTATACATATTATATATATATAATATATATATTATCAAACACTACAGCAGTACAGCACTCTTTGAGTCTCGACCAGTAATTGTTACCTAACCTTAGACGTGTTACACGCTGACACTCATAAACTGTTCCCGTGGTGTACCTGCTACTACCCACATAATATTATTATATTTATTATTAACACACTTATGCGGTTTAATATTATCATCATTCATCATATTACTTAGTACAAGGTCGATTAAAGTTATCTGAAATCTATATTGTCATTATAGTATTACAAAATGTATAGGTACCTACGAAGAAGTTAAATTTATAAAATCAAAAAGGTGGGTCGTGTGTTAAACCAACACCGCTTTATATATCGCCTTTAGTGATAGTATATCCTCCCAGTTTACGTATACCTATACGATGTACGAAAGGGTGGGACATAATAATATTTACCAATATCGTATAATAATAGCATTGCCTTTCGATTCCATATGGCATGTAGACGAAATAATGATTCATCTAAATTTACTTAACACGATTGTCAATGGTATTTAAATATTGACACAGAATAAAATATGTATTTTTGATACATGCCTTCTATATGTATAAAGTATAATGTATTAATTTATATATATTACATACTCGGAACATAGGTATGTTACACATTGTGGACTTGAAAATGTACAAATTATGTTTAAAAAAAAAATCGTTTAAACAGTGTTATATTTGACGAGTATAACGAATGCAAAAATAATTTTTATTTATTGCGCATGGTGGATATGGCATACCGAAAACATTTGGTGAAATAGTTTTTCGAAATCATTAAATGCAGAATTAATTTCAACACACGGTGTTGAATAAAAAACGGAGGGATTTAAAAACCACCCCTCGTTACAACAAGCTCGACCGATATACGCGAAGCCGTTAAATCTCCACTAACCCTTCCCTTGCCCGTGTGGACGGGAGAAGAATACCACAAGTGTCATAGTGAACCATTTTTTTTTAATTTCTATATATTATGTTTTAAAAAAATCCCCAACAGTTGAAAACAAATGACGATTGAGACTTTTCGAGTATGCTTTGGAAAAAGGTCTGGGAAAACAGCGGCTATAATGATTCACAACCCTCTTGACAAAATAATCAAGACTCGAAAGCAATGGGTTTTTAAAACGTTAGGGGTAGAATTGGTTTTAGCTGTACGGTATAGGGAAACTTTTGATTACTAAAGGCGTTGAACCGTATACAGTGTAAGTAATACATAGGTGTTCGGCGGCATGTACTGACAGCTGCAATCCGCCATACATTATGTACCCGTGACGTAGGTACATACAAACATAATAAGCGGTAAGCGGTGTAATGAAATGAAATCTTTAACTTAAGAAGAGACACACACCTGTCGGTGAACAAACTTTATTGTGTAGTGTTTTTCCATTCGTCCGTGTCTTGTTATTTTCGAATTTGTCTACACATATATTATGTAGGTAAGTAACGCTAAAAGACCCTCGACGACGATTGTAATAACTTATAATAATAATAATAATACTCTTCTGATACGAGTTTAGCACCAGATAAAGTAAAAGATTATTGAGAATTTGAGACTGCAATTCTGAAGATCGTCGAATAGATTTTGTTCGAGCGTATACATTGTTGTATTATATGTATAGAACTGGAATATAAACTTTTTAAATTTAAAGTTGAAAATTGAGCTTAAAAAGACAAACTGAAACATATACTGTATACGTATATATGATAGTAATACTTACTATAAACTTGAATTTCAAATAAGTATTAGAAATATAATATATTAAAGGTGGTACATGTATAATACTTGAATGGGTGTTTAAGACGCTTGATACGTGGACATAGTGATGATCTGAGGAGAGGGACATCCATTTAATTTAAATGTACTCAACACAATTAATGTTGACTATCTTTTACATTTGTAAATGTTATGTATGTATTAAATCCATCACTTGCACTTATTGTTAAATTGTTTAAATGTGATGCATTATACTTTATATATATACGCAGATACCTACAATAAACAAAACAAAAATAATTAATAGTGTCACGATAATTTTAAATTTCTCATATTTTATATAATTTTTATTAATTAAAAATGTCCGGGGTCCAAGTACAATAAATGTATGGATTTAGATGTTATTAATTGTATTTACAGTTTTTAAATTTATTTAATTATTTATAGAATTAAATCATTAGATGGAATATTTCTTTAAAATAATTTGGAATTATGTAAGTGCGTGGTATGGTTGTTTGCCACTTACACCAAATAAAGATATGTAATTTGGCTTGGCCACTTGACACCCCCTGAATCGGTCCCAGTATGTGCGCGGGAAAAAGCACCTATATTTGGATAAAAAATAATTACGTTTTGTGTTTAAATTTTAGATTAAGATGCGGTCTCATACAAAAATGTCGATTGATGAAAATGTTTAATGTCATTATAAAATTACGATTTTAAAATTTGCGTGAAAGATCTGCTAGAATATTGTTAACAAGTTATCTAGTTAATGAAAACTGATTAGTAAACTAGCATACATTTTTTAATTTATTAATTATTAATATATTATACAAATAACTTATTTTCCCCATTAAGAGGCGCAATTTGTAAATATCAGAATTTATCTATGTGCGTGTAGGTATAGGCAAATCAAAATATATATAATGTTTTATGAATATTAGGTAGTCAATATAATAAACATAATATTATATTAGAGTACCTATGAGAATTGGGAAACATAAATTCCATACACTTATAGATGTCATATGACATAATTGTGATGAATGTTGTATAGTATTTTTTGTATGTTTATCATAATTCATAATATTTGATTAAACTCGATATTCACATTTGTCTGTCTAAGAAATTTCAAAAACGTCGAGCCGTCATATATATATAGACTAAAGTCACTGATTAAAGAAAAGATTTCTCAGGAAACCTTCATATCTTTTAGTTTTTGTACATAATAAGGCTGATGAATTACAAAGTGTAACTTTTAATTGTTAATTGGAAACCTTCATTAGTATTCAGAGTTAGTACACTGTACGGTGTACACTTTATGCTCTTTAGAATATTTTTCAATTTACATTTATTACGAAAATCTACCCGTATACAAACAAATTCGGGACCAAACAAGAACATTTTAATGTTAAATACGGTATGGTATCTAAACTTAGAAAGTTAGAACAGCTAGAACATATTATACGGCACACAACAGATTTATTTCTAAATTAATAAATAATTTTAAATTTTAATTAAATGTTTGTATTAGAAAAAAAATGTACTCCGTGTTTTGTTTTATATTACTTACATATTAGTTATTTGTATTTCTACAGCAAACACATATAGTATAACATATTTATTATTTAATGTAATAGGTTATAATAGATAAAATAACTAAAAAAAAAAAACTAAACCTTATTTAAGCCACTGCATCAGGATACTCATCAAATTAAATGAATATAAAACGAAAATAATATTTCATCAAAATCTAGAGATTTTTGTAGGTTCATTTGCAGAAAACATTTAAAAGTTAAAAACACGAAGGAAACAAAGAAACAAAAATAACGTGTACGATATTTGAACTATTATTCAAGATAATTAAAAGCTTAGATAAAGGATTATTCATTATTCAAAAATATATTATATTGTATTAGGAAACTTTGTTCGAATTTTTAAACGGTAAACAAAAATGTAGGGGGAAACAGGGCTGATATACATGTCTATGTAGACATACTTTTTATGGGTTTTTTATTCATTCTCATAATTATTTTGTATTATAAATCGCCAATTGTACTTATATCGCTTTATAAATATGGTACTAAAATACTAAATACTACTCAATTATCGTCTTATAATGAATAACTGAATTTGGTGAGAAAATGAAAAAAAAAACTATGTCATCATTATTTCAACATTATTTTAATCTTTGTTTTCAGGTACTACGATTTTTAACTACTTTTGGTACAGACATTTTGATTATGATATTACAGTTCCAATCCTTGGACAATTAACACGCGATGTGATTTATGCATTATGCTGTATAATAATCAGTTAAAACGTTTATTATGAGGGTATATCTTTTTCATTTACTTTGATAGCGGTGTTTGCAA